GACGTTACTGAATCTGATTTCTGCAATAGGAGTTTGATTAATTTTCTTTTACCCTGATATTTATTCTCCATTCCAGCCGTTCATTTATAGACCTCATTGCCTCTTTAACACGTCAGCCTATGGATTAAATCTTCTCATTCACCCTTCCTTCTTTCACTCTGATCCACCATTCAGGTTGATCTCAATCTTTTCAAAACCTGCATCACTACTGATTGACTACATCGATTCCCTGTAGTCACTGCATCACCCATAAATGTATACCACGCGTGGAGTGTTCTCTGCAAACGCTCAGACGGCCTTCGACCGCCTTCGCTATCACAGTTAATCTCGATGCTTTCTCCAACGAACATCTACCATCAGCAGCCCTCCCAAACCATATTCTCTACAAGGGGGGAAAGTGCAGGTCAGGTGCCGAGCACCTAATCAGCATCTACTAGGCATCTGAGCATCCACTCAGCACCTGCGCACCTAGCCAGCACCTATCATCAGTTTTGGATGCTCGGGTGCCTGCACTTTCCCCCTTGATTCTCTAACGTTTTGCTCAATTTCGAAAAAAATGTCTTTTTCACGCTAAACATCGACCCACCCTCCATTCTCAACATCCATCCTCAACCACCTTCCCAAACCATGTTTTATCAAGTTTTGAGCGTTTTTGGAGAAAATGCTTTTTTTGGCCTTTGACCCCGGAAGTGATGTTTTTTTGGCCCCGACCTCACACCCTCAGCCATTTGACCTTTGACCTGCGATAGACACACACACACACAAACAAACAAACAAACGAATTTCCGTTTTTTGACCACTTTTTCTCGACATGACCCTCCTTACAGTCGAGGGAATAACTGAATGCTAGTTATCTTTTTAAAGTTTAAAAATAAAAATAAGATTTAAAAAAAACGCAAAAACTTAGTTGGCAACCTAATATTTAAAATGTTCGTCGAAGGTGTTGTTGAATTCGTTGTCGATATTGTGTTATTGACTTTTGATATTCCTTTCTATAAAATTCTGATGGAATAACAAAAATCATAAAAGTAATTATTGGTGGAATAAATGAAATGAAATATCCACAAAGAAATAATACTGAATCACGTGTTGAATTCATACATTTCGATAAATAAGATAGAATTAAACGCGGTAATGCGACAAGAAATAAAACCACAGGTGCAATTAATAACCGTCGATGTTCTCGAAGTTGTTTCCGTAATTCATCTGAATAAGGTTGATTTTTATGTAAATTAGATTGTTGATGAGATTTTTTTGTGATTAAAATTATCGATGAAATCAAATTAACTAGAAATGGGATAAAAAAATGAAATGTATTTATAATGCGATTATAAATTTGTAAATTTGAAGAATAATTAACGACACACCAAATTCTTTTATGTTCATTATTTTCATTTTCTTCTTCTGATAATCCACGATAAATCGGATCGTGAATTGATGTTGAAATATTACAAATTAAAAGGATAATAATAATTTTCTTTGCTGATGTTTTACTTTTTTTTCTATTAAATTGAGCACCTTGAATAACAGTTACTGCTCTTTCTAAAGCAATACATGCATTTAACCATTGATCCATATTCAAACAAATTCGAAGAAGGAAGTCTAATGAAAAACATTGAACTTTAAGAAATGATTTATTAGAAAAAAATGCCATTTGTGTTGAAAGATAAACAAAATACTTTAATGCAAACATGATCATTGTTAATAATGTTGTTATTGATGAACCCAATAAATAAATTCCACAACCAACTTCGCGTACACTTTGATTCTTAAATGTAATGAACGAAAGAATACCATTGATTATCCCAAAGATAAAGAATAGAATTGTTACTGAAAAACTTATTTTAACAATTGTTGTTTGATAAATAAGATTAACATTTGGAATAATATGATATGCTAAAATAGCATCCAATGATAAACCAAATTCACTTGTGCTAAGTTGACATCGAATTCCAAAGTAACATGAACGACAAGCACAAATAAATCGTTTTGGACATTCAGGCGCATCTTGAAAACATTGACCTCCATTTTCACAAGCATTTTGTCCAGAACAATCAAATTTCATTTCATGGTCAAAATTAGCACAATTTGCTAAACGTTTTTCATTAAAATCATAACATAAACAAAGATGTAAATCATCATGGAAACATTGTAAATGAGGAGAATATTTTTGACAAATTGAATGATAGTATTTCATTCGACGAAGAACATGAAGTCGAGCAAATGTTTCATTTATTAATTTATTGATTGAGGGACAATGATGTGATGAATTAATTCTTTGAGTTATTTTTGTTAAAGGAATATTATTTGATTGAAGAATACCTAAATAAAAGATTTTATCCAATGTTTCAATGAAAATTAAATAAAATGATTTTGACCAATAGATTCTGATTGAATTTGTTGCTTGAGATATTGTTGATCTCTTTAATGTTTCCACAGTTGGTTCGTACTCTAGGCCATCAGTTTGCTTAATTACCATAAAATGAATAAAAATTGATTCTGTTAAATGAAGATCATCATCAAATATAAAATTAACTTCATTGTCGTCTATTTCACATCGATCCCCACTAAAACCTTTTGGACGTAAACAGCTATATTTTTCTTCACTAAAACTCATATAATCATCATTGGGCAAACATGAACCATTATTTAGACATGGAAAACTCTCACAAACTCGATTCTTAAGATAACAACGAGGGCCAAATAGGTTCTTTTCACACACGCAAATTGATCGATTATCACTTAAAATACCAATACATGAAGAATTTGATGAACAGCTGCAGTTATGTTGAATATGGCAATATTCTCCAGACCATCCTTGATTACATTGACAAAATATTTTTTCTTCATTGACATATTTCATACATTTTCCATGTTGACATTGATGATTTGAACAAGAATAATCTCTTGCTGATGGAATATTAATAATGAATGCTAAACGATGAACTGGTAAGAATAAAAATTTCACTGGATAAATAAAACTTGCTCGATATTCACGAGAGAGTTTTTCATAAACATCAATATGAATTGAATAATTTCTAGTCATATCTTTTGGTCGAGTTGAATAAAATAAATGAAGATTAAATTTGGTTTTACAATGTCGTAAGTATAAATAAGTGAATTGCTCAAAAGAATGAATTATTCGTTGATTTGTATTATCGATCAATAAAACTAATATTGCAAGTGGAATTCGCCATGATTCAGCTGAGACATAAAATCGAATTGCTAAACTTATACGTTCATTTTGATATTGGCATTGATTACCGTAGTAACCTGGTGGGCAAAGACATGTACTTGTATAATCGCTCCATCGCTCATTCAACCAGACACGTAAATCAAGACCACGATGACAACGGCGTTTATCAAGTAGCGAAACTTCAGCTGCATCACTTGTAATATTTGTATTGAGTTCCATCGATGTATCTATCATACCCATACCAGGAATCCTGAAATATTTCTGTCCTATTATATAACTGTCGCTGAAAAGGGATCGAAAAAATTCTTGCACATTAACGTACAATGCAATGGGATCCGATTCAGATGTGTCTTTGACGACTGTGACTGATTGCTTTTGTGAACAAAATTGTTCATCATCTTTATTTGGACAGTCCTCCACGTTATTGCACAATTCAGAAGTGTCAATACAAACTGGTGGATTGGTGTCCCGACAATAAAAACCAGTATCCGTAGAAAATAAATTACGACGACATAGTCTTAGTTCGTCGATCCCACCGAGACAATTGACTTGGCCATCATTAATTTTATCAAGTGATAAACATGTAAATTTAAATGTATTCAGTGTGACACATAGTTGTGTATCTGAAGAGCAATTAAATACAAATGATGTTTCATTACAATCCAATTGATCTCTACCATTCCGACAATTCCATACTCTATCACAATGAGTATACATATTGTCACATTCCCATTGTTCGCATTCAGTTTCATCTGTATGATTTTGACCGTTGATTTCTATTGGATATAATGTCTCAAAGCCATCACATAATGTCTGGAACGATATCGTTCTTAGAGTCAAATTCGTCAGATCATGCTCATCTTCACAAAAGTCGCCATCAGAACCACAATCACATTCGTCATCGCGAATAGCCTTCCGTGAGATATATTTGTTGCTGAAGAAACAATGATATAATTTATATTTTAATCGAGCAAATAACTGAGGATTCATGTCCTTGGATATGTTTTCATCATCACCATATGGACAATCATGAATTGTATTTCCAAAACGTTGGAGTCCAATACATTTCGATGAATTTTTGCATTGATATAAATTGAATGTATCACATTGATTCGAAGGAAAATTAACTATTGGATTAGACTTTGTTATTTGATCAAAAATACTTACCATGATTTTGAAATATGTGCGTTCTGACTCAATTATATAGTCTGGGTCAGACATATTCTCTCGGACATCAATTATAGGCCGAGGAGAAACAAAACAGCTCATATTGTTTATTGACATGTCTGAAACTGGTTCAAGCGAGCCATCATGAAAAGATTTATTTGAACATAAATAGGGTACGGCGAGATCGTTTGAATTCAGCACATCATTTTTCTTATAAACTGTAAAAACATGGCCAAAGAATATTGGAACATTGGGAACATATAGTACATCTGGACATTCTTTTCTTATAATAGATATATCTTTTTCTATATTGTCAAAAAATTGATAATCTTGCAAATAGCGTTTAAAAGCGAGCCGACATTTATCCGATACAGAACTGTCTTCTACTGAAAACATCGCATTCATGAGATGAGCCGGACGAAGAAAATTACAGCTGCTTGTTAAAAATGTAGTTTCACATCTTACATCTTCTACTAAAAGCATAGGATCGATAAAATCGGATGAAAAGTCTGGGTCACTACGTATAATAGAAGTGCTCAAATTTTCATCAGAACCGTCAAGACAGTCATAACTTGTGCGACCTTCATAAAAGAATTCAATCGGTATACATTGTCCCATGACACATTGATATTCATTTTGTTCACACTCATTTAATTCAAGTTGCCAACAATGCTCTTCATCAAAATTTCCATCAAGACAATTAACTACGCCATCACAAATTTCGGACCAATCTAAACATGCTGATAAAAGACCACGATTGCATTTCAAATGAGTATAGCAAGTAATATCGCTTCGAATAAGAGGGTAAAAATCATAATACTTGTTTAATAGTTTATTAAATGTTTCAAATGTTTCATGATAATAATAGAATTGATATTGACACATAGATCCAAATCTTGGTAATGTACAAATGTAAACAGATTGGCTTTTCAAAGATAAATCATTTGATTGTAGATAATATTCATATTGTTCAATGATATCGATTGGTACTGACCATTCAAATAATTGCTCACTTGTGATATTTTCTTTTACAAGATCATCAAAATCAATTGAGTCATCATTTTCAACAGAAAACTTCGATGACGATTCACTTATACAATATGATATAATATCTTGAGTATCATTATGATTGTGAAAATCTGCTGCAAATCGTAGGCAATTATATCGCATACCTATCTCATCAAATTGATCGACAGTTATCTTATCGGTAAAATAAAGATTCAACTGAAGTTTAGCTCTAATACAACATAGAAAAATCGAATAGAAAACATATTTTATATAAAACATGATTTCTTCTTGTGAAAAGATACAAATGAAATGGTTGTATATATATATTTATTATTTTATGACGTCAATTCATTAAAATTATTTGCGGACAACAAAACTCATTTGTTCTGTTTTGATATTAATAGCATTTCATTGTTAACAGATCTGTTATTGTTTAACAGAAAAAAAACCGTAAAATTTGAGAAAAATAAATGAAAAAAAAACTTACTGTACGATAATTTTCAGATATATACTTTCCTAAAAGATCAAAAAATAACTTTTGAATATCAAAAATCAGTATTGCGACGTTCATCTGTTAGGATATTTTTCAATGGATTTAAATTGACGTCAAATGAAACTCTCGACGTAATAAATATTATTAAGACAAATAAAAAAAAAAGATTAATCATAATATAATTTTTATCTATTTGCTAAAAGCACAGGTGTGTGAGTGAGCAGAGCTGCCATGGCGTGTTTCGTCTTTTCCTAACAAACTACTCATCAGATAGCTTGACTTTCACTATGGTTTAATTCCAAAAACTAAATTTCGTCTGTTATTTTAAATCAAATACACAACGAAACTCAATTATTTTGTTGTTTCTTCCATTGAAATATAAATCGTGTATGAGAGTTAAAATAAAGTTCAGCAAATGTCGATGCAACATTTACACGTATTGTACGAAAAATTGAATCAATAATTGTTTCAGTTATAGTTGAAGACATCGTATTGATGATGAAACACAATAAATTGTACTGTAATGACAATACATATCGGAAGAATTCTCGATACAATTTGTATTTGCGCATCCCATAGTTGAATCAATCAAATAATATTTATCCAAAGTATTTACAAATGGTTGAACTGATAAATTTTCATGTGAAATTATAATACATGATCAATTATAAGAAAATTCAAATGTTGATAAAAATGTTCCATTAATAATTAAACAATTGATAATCAGTTTTGGAATCTTCTATTGACTATAATTCGACCTAAATGAATTCATCTCATTAAACGTGAATAACCTTTCATATTTGAACAAGTAGAATTATGGAATCGTCAAGTTGTCATTTTAGGAGATATTATTGAATCAAATTGTTCAGATGAATAATGTAAACTATAATTGATTTGTAAGGCTATAAGATGATTTGACTTTCACGTATTTTGATACTTTAAATAGAATAGAGATAATAATTTAACACAGTTTTGGATTGAATGATTTGATTTGGTGATGTGAATAATTTCTTCTGCAATATCTGTTAGATTAATGAGATATGATTCATCAAAATTAACAAGAATATATTTGTATCACGTATTCAAAATTAAACTATTTGATAAATTTTATTCTTGTTATTTATAGCCCAAATGAAATCATCAATTTAATATTATTAACGTATTTTCCGACTACAACTTCCGATTTCCTTGGTTAAACTAAATATCTTTGTTACTTCATAAACACCCAAATCATTATAATTAAATAGTTAGACACATATTATCATGACTCATTCAACTATAAATGGTATTCAATTTTATATCAAAACTTATTTAGCAAATGTTTAGTTGAATGTATATTTTATTAATCAAATTCAAATTTCTCTTATTATCATCAACAATAACCTCTACTAAGATATCCAATGAACAGATGTCTCATGTGAGATTGAATATCATATATTTGGACATATGTGACGAGATGTTTGAGTTAGAATTAAGCAAAATAAAAAATAATATTTTTATTAATCTCTATTTTCATAGAAGAACATAGTAATACACAAAATCAAAATTAATTCTCATTTTTATGATTTATTTTCAATGTTACAACAAAACAATCCAATCATGTCTTTTATCTTGATTTAGTACACTTTCTGATTACAAATAATGTTATAGTCGCTTTTCTTTCCTGTTCAAATTTATTGTATGTCAAATATAGTTAATTATTAAATATCCGTTAGATAAAATAACTTCAACATTATCATTCCGTTCATGTATGATTTTAACTGTTATTATAAGCATTTAGAAACGTCAAGTGGAATGAAAGTATAGCGCAGTTTTATTTTCTTCTACATGTGATGAATTTTATATTATCAAAATTGATTATTATTCTCCATAATGTTATCATAGTTTGGAATTTGGATAGATGGAGACCATTTTACAATCTATATAACACAGATATAAAGACGAACGAGTTCGATCATGATTGTTTCTATTCAACAATCATTAAGAGTGTTTATACTGATGAAAAATCCTCTTTCATTCGTCAAAATGTTGAATTTTGTATTCGAACAATGGAACAAAATGAGATGAATAGAAATGAACAAGCGATATCATCGATATTAACATTTGATGAATTAAGAAAACTGAAGATCACTTCAACAGATCTCTTAGAATGGTCAAGTCCAATTGATATTGTCGAACATTATGAACATTTTTTGCAAACAAATCAATCGTCAACGAGAAATCAATTCTACAATTGTACTTTACCATGGTTTGGACCAATTTGCCAATATAAATTTATCGTTAATGAATCGTTTTCATATTTTCTTCAAGTGCGACATGATATATCTCAGCCATTTGAAAAAGAAACAGCAACAATAACGTGTTATGTGCATCTTCGATGTGAAATCCTTCCCTCATTGATTTGTCTCGATTGGCGTGAAATATGTGATGGAAAAATCGATTGTTGAAATGATGGTGGAGATGAAAAATATTGTTTTGAACTTGAAATAAATAAATGTGAAGAAAATAAATATCAATGTCGAAATGGAATGTGTATCGATGAAGAATTTCTACTTGATGAACATTTTGAAATCGAAACTGTTGAATGTCTTGATGGAACAGATGAACTTCAGTTGAAACCGTTTCTCTCATGTTCAAGAGATTTATCATTTAAATGTGAAGAAACACTTTGTCCATCCGATACATCATTTAATTGTGGAGATGGAACTTGTCTTGTTTATCCTCTATTTCAAACACTTTTAATGTGTTCAAATAAGCGAAATCAAATCTACAATTATCAATTTAGTTGGCATAATCTCGAAAATCTTTATTATCCTCATTGTTTCAAAATTCTCATGTGCGCATCGACTTCGTGGAGTTTACGAGATTTCGATATGTATTGTAAGAGTTTTTGTAATAGTTCAGAAGAATGTCGACTTCAAACTCTTCGACAATGTTCATCTGCATTCATTGCGCCAATTGTTCCAATTTGGCGTGGTCACGTGAAATATGGTTATTTCTCTAATCAAACATCAATCAAAAGATTTGAAACTGAACCTCATTTTATTTATTATGATCAAAATCTTTGTTCACATATTATTTCGACATTTACTCTCGAGAATTCAACATGTTTACATCTCAATCGATCGAATTCTTCGTTCATGACTGACATCTTTGAATTGTTTCGGTCATGTGATTCACCATTGGGAAGTGGAAATGAATCAACATGTTTTGATTCGATAATGTTACATTGTCCAAAGACGAAGAAATGTATCCCTAAACGTCGAATTCTTGATGGAATATCTGATTGTTATCATGCTTTTGATGAATCTGTATTTAGTAATTCATGTACATTTAATGACAAATCTCGTTTTCAATGTACATCGGAACAAAAATGTCTTTCATCCTTATTGGTTAATGATGGACATGAACATTGTCTCAATGGTGAAGATGAATTTGAATTAAATCGTATAAAAACAACTATTCATCAAATATCGTTTTCAATGATTTGTGATGGATATGTTGATTTATTATCGAATAAAAATGAAAGTGATGAAACAAATTGTGAATTTTGGCCATGTGTAAATCCTACAACACGTTGTAATGACTTTTGGGATTGTCCAAAAGGAATCGACGAAGTCAATTGTTCAACAATATTTCAATGTCCTCCTAATCATCATCCTTGTCTTTTATCAACCAATGGTACAATGGGTTGTTTACATATCGATCGAATTGAAGATGGATTTATCGATTGTCTTGGATCAACAGATGAACGAACACATTGTCAACAAGAATCAGAAGATTTTATTTTGAAAAATTATCGTTGTTGGAATAGTACTCAATGTGTTTCATTTACATCGGTTTGCCGATATTGTGATCATATTAAAGATAAAAATTTACTTTGTAATACAAATAATGAAACAGTTAGGGCGATTATTCAATATTTTAATTCGAGAGATATGAATATCTCCCATAAAAAAACACCATTTTCTCTTCAATCATCAACCGATTTTCCTCCCAAACAATCTTCATTATTCAATCACAAACAAATGCCGATTTCAATGATAACAACCAACGAAATGTCTCGTAAAACACCTATTAACGATCGACGATTGTGGTTCTGTAATAAAGGTTTTCTAATTCTTGTTGGAAAGAATGAAAGTGAAGAATGTCTATGTCCTGAAAATTATTATGGTGATTTATGTCAATATCAAAATCAACGTGTAAGTCTAACAATTCGATTATATCAAGAAAATCTTATCAAACTGAATATCATTGGTATTATTATTCGACTTGTTGATCAGAATGCATTTGTTCATTCGTTTGAACAATTGACACACATTCCTCGAATTGATTGTAATACAAAATATAATCTTCATCTTCTTTTTCATCATCGACCAAAACATTTAACAACAAATTATTCAATTTATATCGATATTTATGATAAATTTCATTTGAATTATTTAACAAGTTGGATTTATCCAGTGAAATTACTTTTTCTTCCTGTAAATCGTCTCAGTGTTCAATTACGAATACCCGCAAAATCAAATTGTCATTTAATATGTATTCACAAGTATTTTCAATCATTAATTCAACAATCAATGAAATCTTGTCGTTGTTTAAATCAATTGACGATCAAAAACCAATGTAACTGTTCTCCGCAATCCATTTGTGTTGATTTCAAAGGAAATCGAGCAATTTGTTTATGTTCATTGAATACAACTGGTTCACGATGTTATTTGAAATCAATTTGTCAATTGAAAAATCCCTGTCTGAACGGAGGAATTTGTATTGCATATGATTCTCGACATTCTCCAACAAATTTCACATGTTTATGTCCTAATGGATATTTTGGAGAAATTTGTGATCAAGCTGATGTGAAAATCGATATTTCATTTTTGAATATCGAAATTCCTTCATCTGCATTGATTCATTTTATTCGAATTGCTCAATTTCATCCATACAAATCAAATATTGAACCAATTCAAACGACAATGTTTCAAAAGATTCGTTTTAATGAATATTTCTTAAGTTTAAACATGTCTCAACCATTTCATCTTTTGTTCATTCAATTACAAAATGATTTTTATCTTTCAGTTCTTCAACATGAGTATAAACCATCAATTGTCATTTCAACAGAGATTCCTTCATCACAACGTTGTCCATTTATTGGTGAACTCATCAATAACAACTATACATTTCTGCATCGTATCAAATTTTATCATCAAATTTGTGCAAAATACATCGAATTGCCTTGTTTTCATGACAATTCAACATTTATGTGTTTATGTACGGATCGACGAGATGCCAATTGTTTTCATTTTAATTATAACACAACATATCGATGTTCAAATCATGATTATTGTACAAATGACGCACATTGTTTTCAAGATCATCGATCTTGTCCAACAAAAGTCCTTTGTGTTTGCCAACAATGTTTTTACGGTGATCAATGTCAATTTTCTACGCAACATTTTGGTCTTTCACTTGATTCGATCTTAGCTTATCATATCTCTCCACATTTGAAATTCACCGAACAATCTTTACCAGTGAAACTTAGTATCATTTTATCGACAATTCTCTTTCTAATTGGTTTTCTTAGTGGAATTTTATCAAATTTGACGTTACGAATGAAATTAAATCAACAAACCGGTTGTGATCTTTATCTGTTTGCATCTTCGATCACATCGATTTTGATTATTGTATTTCTTTATATAAAAATCTGGTTTTTAATTCTTTCTCAAATGCAAATCATCACTTGGCGGCTAAGTAGAAATTCAACGATTCTTCATCATATTCACTTTGATAAACGAATAAGTCGACAAATCGCCAAAATAACGATAATTCTCAGTTGTATTATCATTTCTTTATCGATAATTCACGATCCTATTCATCGTCATTTAGTTGATGATTTCGAAGAAGAAAGAACATGGTGTATTCTCAAATTAACACCTCAAATGGAAATTTATAATAGATTTATAAATCTTTTTCATTTTCTTGTTCCTTTTTCGATCAATTTCATTTTAACCATTGGCATTATGTTCATTAGTGCAAAACATCGTTCATCAGTAAGAAGACAAGTCAATTTTAAAGAACAATTCAAAAAACAAATCTTTCGACATAAACATTTGCTTTTCAGTTCATTTTTCTTAATTATTTTAGCATTACCACGTTTAATTCTTTCGTTTCTCTCAAATTGTATGAAATCACCAAAAGAATATCAATTATTCCTATTTACTTATTTTATTTCTTTTATTCCACCTATTCTTCATTTCTTCATTTTTGTTTTAACATCGCAAATATACAAACAACAATTTTATACAATGATTAGACGCAAATCGAACCAATTTTTACGTTGTCTATTTCCATATCGAATATTTCCTCAAATAAATTAACAACAGGGACCACATTTTTCCTAAACTTACTTTTTTTGCTTTACATATACTTTAATAAAACTATAGGCACTATAAACTCAATGGAGGCCGTCGCCTGCCGTCGTCGACGTGATGCGTCGCTGATGAAGTCAGATTCTTTGCCACGTGTTGTTGCTGAATGTTAAAACACAGTCTTGAAAATCAAAATATGAATATTGAAAGAATGCAAAATGTTTTACTCATTTGGTTAGATAGCAATATTGATGAAACTGACGAACAGTATCAGAATAGTATTGTTGAATTACAACGAGTTGTGAATATTATTTATACATATACGAACAATGATCGATGTATGGAATTCATCGAAACGATCCAAGATCATCGAGTATGTATGATTATTTCAGGATATCTTGGTCAAGATATTTTACCTTATATTCATAATATGTCACAAATCGACTCAATTTTCATCTTTTGTGGTAATAAAAAGTCTCATGAACACTGGGCTCAGCATTGGTCCAAAATCAAGGGAGTTTTCACAGAAATCAAATCCATTTGTGAAGCTCTCAGACAATCAGCACGACAATGCGAACAAAACGCTATGTCGGTTAGTTTTGTTGCATCGGACAAAAAATTAGATCAATTAGATCCATCTTTCATGTACACACAGATCTTAAAAGAGATCTTATCTACTATCAAATTCGATGACACACATATTCAAAGTTATTTGGAATATTGTCGTGGTGTTTTCGCTCAAAATAAATTTGAACTGAACAATATTAAAGATCTCGAACGAATATATCATGAAAAGACGCCGATATGGTGGTACTCGTGCGAGTCATTCTTATATCCCATGCTGAATCGTGCAATACGAATGATGAATGGTGATATAATGATAAGAATGGGTTTCTTCATAAATGATCTTCATCGACAAATTGAACAACTACATAAAGTACAAGACTTCACTGAAATCTTTACAGTTTACCGCGGACAAGGTTTATCGGGGCCCGATTTCGAGCAATTAAAGAAAACAAACGGCGGATTGATGTCATTTAACAATTTCTTATCTACGAGCAAAGTTCGAAAAGTTTCACTCAGTTTTGCTGAACAAGCTGCAAGAAATCCAGATTTAATTGGAATTCTTTTCATGATAACAATCGATCCAAAGCAATCAACAACACCATTTGCTTCGATTCGCGACTTCAGTGCTCTTGCAGACGAAGAAGAAGTACTGTTTTCTATGCACAGTGTTTTCCGAATTCAAGATATGAAACAATTAGGTGAAAATAACAGACTCTTCGAAGTTAATTTGATGCTTACCAATGACAATGACAAAGACTTAAATGAACTTACTGATTACATCCGAGAAGAGAGTTATCCACATGAAGAAGGATGGGCAAGATTAGGCTTATTATTAAAGAATATGGGTCAAAATGACAAAGCTGAAGAAATTTTTCAAACGTTACTTGATCATCGGACGGAGGACGAGGAGAAAGGAGCAATTTATCATGAACTTGCGATGATCAAAGATAAACAAGCGAAATATCGTGAGGCGCTCAGCTTCTACGAAAAGTCTCTTGCTATTAAAGAGAAAATCTTTCCTCCGAATGATTTTCATTTAGCTGTTTCTTACAACAACATCGGTTTGGTGTATTTCAACATGAAAAATTATACAAAGGCGCTTTCATTTCATGAAAAAGCTCTCGCCATTCGACAACAATCGCTTCCTTCAAATCATCTGGATTTGGCCATGTCGTACAATAACATCGGTTTGGTGTATTCAAACACCAATCATTATTCGAAAGCACTTTCATATTATGAAAAAGCACTTGAAATTGCCCAACATTCACTTCCTTCCACTCATCCTCATTTAGCTGCATCCTATAACAACATTGGTTCGTTGCATGAAAACATGCGTAACTATTCAAAAGCACTTTCGTATTACGAAAAATGTCTTGAAATCAAACAACAATCACTTCCTTCAAGCCATCCTGATCTGGCTTTATCTTACAACAACATCGGATTGTTATACGAAAAGATGAAAGACTATCCAAAAGCCCGTTTATTCTTTGAACGTGCTGTGTTAACTGTACAACAATCATTACCTTCAAATCATCCTTGGTCGCGAGAAATGATCAGCAATTTTCGACGTGTAAAAGCGATACGATAATTCATGTTTATTCATTTTTCTATAACGCAGAATGGATTGTATGCCATTAGTTGACACTGGACCAGTTCCAGGTAGTGTGAGGTTTGACCATATTAACAACAATAAAACGTACTCATGATTCAATTTGACGAAAATGATTAATCAAAAGTGTGACTCTGATCAGGGAACATTGATAATAGGATAAAATTAGCTATTCTTTTCTCAAAAAATAACAGTATTTCGAAAACTGACTCAGCGATAATTCCGAAGCGATGTATAATTTCCTCAACCAAAGGTAAGCCTACAGTCTGCTTTGATGGATACATGTACACATTAAACAAGGGATCGTAGCACGGTCAAACATTGGCGATGTGAAGATCGTTCATGTTCTGCATTTGTTCATCTTGATGGGAATGAAACATACAATGCACACGCTGATCATCTAGCTTCGTCGAACAACGACATCAGTTCTTCTTACGCTAAGTACCTTCGACATTCCGGAAGCATACGCTCAAACTCTCGGTGGAAAGCACCTTCTTCTGCACAATATACTCCTTCGCGGCCAACGAGCAGTAACGTTCGCCAAATGATTTACAATTGACAATCTCATTCAAATCCAGTCACATCTTTACTAACGGCACCTTTAAAGTGTATCCTCCACTATTCGATCAAACCTTTACAACTTGTGGCGTACACCATGAACACGATATGATCTTATTCTTTTGCTCACATATGTGGCCAAGGTTCACTTCGTTTTAGTTGTGCCGTGTGTGATCGTCCTTCTACCTGATCGATCAGCAACTTCAATTGTCTTTCGAGTACAAAAATAATGAAGAAACGCATTCTCTCTGTTAACAACTGATGGCATTCGGTCTTCTCCCTGACGAAAAAATGTTGACTGCATTCGAATATTTTGACGATTTTTGGAACGTCGATGATCTCAAAATTCGAACGAATAATAATGCTGAAGGTAAATGATTTCTTCCCTTCGCATTCTCTATCGACGCTTTGCGGCTCGCATAAGTTGGCACAGCGGATTTGCCTACTGCATTGATAAGAGACACCCCAATACTTAGCACTTCATTCGCGTTCTGAAAGAAGAAGAAGTCGCAAAGATTCAAATCATAACTCGCGAATCCTAATGCGCCATCTGTGTCTTCTGTTAAGTAATAAAGTAGTTCTCACTTATAATTTCATTGACTCGACTAAAGACAGCATTGTGCCAACAAGCTAAATTCTGTTTCATTCAGGGATTAACATTTTAGTTTCGTCGAAAAGGTTTACACATCCTCTCTCCGTCCACACGTCTGCGTCTCCTCGTAGTTAGATTAGCTGTAGGTCTTAATATGAGTTGTACACAATGATGATTATCCTGAAATTTTTCCGATCAAGCATCTCTCGACACAAGTACACGTCGCACGAAAAAATGAATTCATCTTTCTTCAATTACCCTACTGAATTTCATACAATTTCCGTTTCTTATATCATCATCAGAAGTTCATTCTCAGAACATCACAAATTGTGGCGATTGAAGCGACGAAATAGATGATTTTATTCCAGGCGGAGTATCATAGATACGTAAAAGTATTAATATGATAGCAGTTTCACAGTCCATTTTCCAAGACAGTAAATACACAATAGCTTCCTTATTTTTCTATTAAATTAAAAAATAAAGATTTTCGTGATCACCTCGACGTGCTCTATCGAAGTGGAAAGAAAAAAAACGAACATCACAGGAAAAAATTTTCGTCGCCCTTGGGGAGGCTCCAGCACACAAAAAATTGAAAATTGTCAAGTCCGGAACTGTTACTGATTTATAATTGAAAGATGAAGATAACAGCAAAAGCTAAATTAATAATGTCGAGCCAGATATGAAGTACAATAGCATTTCTGATGATGACAAGTTTAAAAAATTTCAGCCCGTATTTTGCCAAACCCCTTGTTGTGCGTGCGTGCTTCTCTCTGTCAAATCAAACGATTATTAAAAAAAAACCTTTATAGCCTAAATTGCATAAAAACGTAAATGAATTGTTATCCGGCGATATGAGTTAAGTCAAGAATTATGTTTCGACTCGACGTGCCGGGCGAAGCGGTCAAGGACAGCCTGCCATTCTGAGCGCTGCTGGTCTTCGGGATGCTTTAGTTCAGCGTCGAAGGTCTGACGAATAGTGACGCCAGAGTCAGTTTCGATAAATTCCAAGCGGACCATGCGGCCATCGTCCTCCCGAAATTCAATCAGTCGGTTTAGCTCGATCTGCGTGTAGGTGGCAGCGAAGTCGAATCCCATGCCGCCGCTCTTTGCCTCGATGCGTAAGGACAGTTTACCGCCAATCTTTAGGTCGTTTGATGCCCGAGTGGTGTGCCAATCGTCAGTAGCGTCCCATTGCACGATGTCATCGGGATTGTTGAAAGCTCTCCAAACGTCAGCAATTGGCACGGCAACATTCGTTTCGATGGTAATTTTCATAGCGTTAGCGTACGCTGAAAACAAAAAAGGGTTTCGTGGATAAGATACAAAACTCCCCCGAAAAGCTTACTGAACTGTTATCAAGTTGAATAGAAGCATGTTATGTTGGTGCAAAATCTTTAAAATAGGGTTTCGATTTCGTTGCAAAAATGACTCCGTATAACACCTTTTTTTGTTTTAATGTAAGGTGAAGGCAAATAAATTGTCACAAGTACTGGTAAAATAAAAAGTGTCATTCGTTGTTTTTATTGTTCCTTGAGTCGTTCTGTTATACTACATATTTATATGGATATAGATGTCGTTCGAGTATGTGATCCGATGATATACATACAATGAATTATGCACATTTTTTTCGAATTAATCTCGTATTTTCGTTGCTGAACAAAGCCATATTACCACGTTCGTTCAGTGTTGTGTAACTCTGTCGCCAGACACGTTTACTGGAATTTTATCTACTGTGGTTCTCTTATTTGTTCTACTCAATGACAATTCAGTAATTAGTCACTCGTGTCTCAGGAGAACATTTGCTCAGTTCATACCTAGCAGATGGAATAACCACCGTATAATCCTCTATCGATGACAAAAGTTTTAGCTTTCTATTCTGAATAGTATCAAAGATCGGACAGTTTCGACAAGAAAGCTTATTAATTAATTCTATCAAAACGGAACATGATCAAGATTTCATTCAAACACGTCTGGAATGTGTGTATGTTTCGAAAGGTTTACAGAGATAGAATGTGCCCTTAATTAACCCTGGTCTTCCTGTGCTCTTTTACATACTAAAATAACAACTTACGCTTCTGTAAAATGATTTTCTCAGTTTTAAGGTTACTATCTTGACAAAAGGTTGCTACTGTTATATTGAGCTTGATAGAAAAATACTGACAGTATGTTAGTTCTTTGTTTAGAACAATTAATACAAAAAATTTGCTTTACACAATGTTCATTACAAACAAATGCAGAGCAATTCTAACGTTTATTTGAAGTTTGTCTGTCTTTAGATGTTTCACATTTTGAACGAAAATTCAATAAAGGTATTACTAGACTAAGTCCGAGTTCTTCTGGAAACAGTCGTCGTTGATATCTTTTGTTTTTATTCCATACCGAATTTGCCGACTTCCATATGATAAAAACATTTTGAGCTGCCATATCTATCATGCCGTAGAAAATACAAAGCGGCCATCGCTTTGTTCCTCTTTTTATCTGCAAATGACAAAATGAAAAGATAAGAATCTAAAAAGTGAAGAACCAATTTCACGAGTTTTATTAGATAGAAAATCTATAGGTATTTCTAGTATATTTTTTCGTAATGTTTCTCTAAGCATAAGATTTTTTGCAATGGAACACTTGTAAAAAATTATACATTGTAACATTTCTGTTCGAACCATAAAATGGCTTGACCAATTCTAAAACCACACTTTCATCTACATGTGCTTGTTTTTCTTCACGGAGCTGCCGTCCAATGTAAGGAAATGCATTTAACACAACCAGAACTTTAATCCATATTTCTCAGGTTTCTTAAGAATAAATAGAGGGAATGGACATTTTCCCTGAAATCCCAGTAATTGTTCACCGATGGTAATGTTAAATGTCGATGTATAGCATGTTTTTAATTTACCTTGAAACTCTAACGAAATTTCATGAACTGCTGCAAATTTATCTGCTTTTTTCTCTCTTCACTTGTACTTTCATCATCAATTTTTTGTAAACCAAACCAATATTATTAGATGAAGTAGCAACACCAAGAGGATTTGAAGACATAGTTTCTTTTGAGAAATTTCAAGATCTTTTTGTATAAGTTTTTCGTACTTATCTAAGCATATCGCTGTGGATGCCTTAAATGGATTCGAATATATTGAATCGTGGACAAAGGAAAAGATTTCTAATCGAAGCTTATTTTTAATTCTATCTTCAAACTCATCCTAATCGCCGAAGGCCATGCGCGCACGACCTATTGCAATGTATTCATCTACACTTACCCAGATTTCCTTAGGGATCTCTGAAAAAATAGGATTTTTGAGATACTCATCGATCTTGTGAAGTTTGAACAAACTCTGACGTTGTCAAAAATCTTATGGCCAAATTTTTCCACATCCAGGTCGACCAATCCTACGGCCGGATCCGACTAACTTGAACCGACAAAATCCGATAGTGAAATAATTTTTTTAGCAAATATACAAAGTAGAATGACGTACAATTGAAAAAAAACTAAATGATAACTGTCTCAATTCATTTTTGTTAGTATCTGTTGGCGTCCATATTCGGATTCAGGTCAAACTCGGATCGATCCGACATTGACCTGAATCTAATTATGGACGCTAACATATATATATATAAACAATTTCGACCCACATTCTCATTCTTAAGATTTTACGGATGTACTGTGTGGTAGTGAAGCAATTACCTAATTCACCACGCCCACGTTTAATAGATATGCAGTTTGAAGATTATTTTTCTGCTGAAGGAGAGGCAGCGAATAAAACAGAACACCATCAATGAGAGTTATTCGAAGATAGACCACAAAGACAAGAAAAATCACACTATAACTGAATACTTATGTTAATGTTGCATCATAATCTTCGCTTATCGTAGAATTAAGTATAAAGACTGATGCGTTTGTCGAGCATTACCATTAATATTAAGATATAGTCAAGTACGTATCTTATGAAAGTATCCGGTGATAAATAGAAATTTTATGTTCATATTAAGCATCAGCTACAAAATGAAAAATTCTCCATAGGGTTTTCTAAATCATTTTTTCAGAAACATCTTTAATCTTCTATATATATATATATGTTGTCATTAGATGTGTGCGATATCTCTTCGATTTTGTATTCTGATGACTGAACTTTGGGAAAAAATCAATCAATTGTATAAAGGATGGCACAGAACTATTATCGTCAAAGGACATGGAAATTTGAGTTTGATCTAATAGTCATTACGGATGCGATACTAGTACAAGAACTTTATGCATCAAGACCGTTCATCTATTTTGACAGAAGAAAAAACTAGACTACGTTAACCGTTTTCATGGTGAACTAATCTATTGAAACATCAACTATATGACATCCAAGTATATACTGGATATTGATATCAGTTTGCCATTATGATAGAGCACACTGAATTCTAAAGATTATATATTACCAAAATGTATTGATAGATTACAACACTCAATTTCCTTTTAACTTTGGTGTTGCGTTTAAATAAAATGATTACGATTTGAAAGCTTCGACTAGAAAATGATGCATCAATCTAATTATATATCGTATTTTAAGTATTAAAACTATCAAATGGTTGTATTTCGATTAGAAGAAAAATTTTATATGAAGATCAATGATCTATTTTTTGAAACAAGCATGCCAATCCCACTCTTTTTCGAAATCAATTGGGTAATATCCAAATGGACATGTTCTCAATGGTAATCCATTACAAGTTTGTCCTATATAATCACTAATCACCCCACAAACAGGTCCTGCTTCAATTTTATGTCAAGGATTTGATCCATTGAATAAATGTCCTCCAGGGTATTTACAACAACAATTTAAAGATGGCGTTGCTTATTGCTATAAAAATAGTACAACAGTGGAAAAACAGGGTGCTCCAATTGGTACATTATGTGGCGGTCTAGCACGTGCTTCGTGTGGTGGATTGGGTCCAAATAAATGTCCATCAGGTTACAGTGTGTCAGAAGGATTGACATGTTACAAAAGTGAAGCAACTGTAGAGGACGCATCAGGAACTGTTGGTGGGGTGATTAGTGATTATAGAGGACAAACTGGTAATGGATTACC